TCGATCTCTCTGTCTGTACACACAGAAAGATTGACAATCAAGTTGCCTTTGACTTGAGAAACCCTGAGGGCTGAATCTTTAAAGAGCTGTGTTTCAAGGTTTCTTATTTAAATCTCGGTGTCTCTGATGTTATCTGTAATCTGTGACGTTTGTTTTTCAGCTCCACATTTCCTGTGACGCCTTTCAGACGAGATAGAGTTTCAGAGCGCTTTCTCTACGTAAATACTGTCCGAGCGCCTCATTGACTCAAGAGTTAACATCAAGTCACGTGTCAAGCAGACCCAGCTGCTAGAGAGCGAAGACCCTCTCAACTTAGAAATGCTGAATCCTTAGAGATCTGCTTGAAAGGAAAAGGTCTTCTTGAACTGCTGTGACTGTGGACACGTGTTAGGATAATGCTGCTACTGCCCAACTCTTTTGGATGTCCTGTCTTGACTTTTTTTTGTAAGTTAGTGTAAGGTATGTCGTGTCTTGTAACTATCTTGTTTCAAAGAATGAAAAATGTATAAACATATTGTTTAAATTAAAAAATAAATGCTAAATCCTTGAAGTTATACGTTTAAAAACATGCATTGCACTAATACTGGAGGCAGTGAGGGCTTCGTCAGCTTCTCAACAACACGGTCTTCTCTACGCGGCTAAACAAATTAAATGCAAACTACTTTAACTCTGGAAAAAGGTGAGGTCCCTCAGGTGAGGTCCCTCAGGTGAGCTGTGGATCCCAAATGTCATTTATAGCTCAACTAATGTTTATATTAGGGCTGTGCGATTATGGCAAAAATCATAATCACGATTATTTGGGTCAATAATTGATATCACGATTATTAAATACGATTCTTCATTGACTTTGAAAACATTCATTTATTGAACTTTAAAACAAATAATAATTTGAACAGTTTCTTTTTAACTGTTGATTACCCTGAACGTATAATTCAACTGAAAAACCAATACAAAAATAAATAAATTAAATTATACATTTTTATTTACATTTAAATAAATAATATCAAAATAATAAATACCAATAAACAAGATCAACAAATATTTTGGAGCGCACTTCCACAAGCTACTAAACATATATAAATATGATAAATACAAATGAGACCAAAATAAATTAGATCAAATATGTTGCACTGTCACAACCTAGCAAAGCAAAATAATTGTTTTTTTCGATTATGTTGTTTTCGTAATTGTGGCAGGCCAAAATCGTAATTGCGATTAAAATACGATTAATTGCACAGCCCTAGTTTATATGTTCCCAAAATGCAAAGCCGTTCCCTGCTCTGCTTACATGTCAAGGCTGCTGCAGAGAGGCCTATGAATACAAATGCTTTAAACAACATGTGCAAGAGGGGAGCCTCAAATGGCGCATTTCCATTGCAGCGCGTAGCTCGCTTTAAGCGTGCCGTGTCGTGCCGTCCCCTTTTTTGGTTGTGCTTCCACTAGGCCTCGTTCCGGCGCGGCACGGCGCGGGGCCACTTTTTCCCCTCTTTTCTGGCCCTAGAAAATTGTGGTTCTATCGGGGCCAACAAACAGGGCTGAGTCGGGCTGAGTATGCTAAACTAGAGAGAGGAGCGCTGGCAAGAGGGCTAGAACTACAACAAGATGGACATATTTGACCGTGATTTAATTGTAATACACGTTTCAAAATGATGCCGAAGTAACAACATACTGATACCGGTTAGTAAAAACCATGAATTAATGCTTTGTCAAGTCTGCAGACAGACGGCAGGCGAAAAACCTTTTAAAATTCGTGTTTTTCTAGATGGAGATTGGCTAAGCTAACGCAGTATATGCCCCGACCGTCCACACTCACAACAACGGCCTATACAGACATAAATAAGGCAGCGACTGTATTCACCATGACACAGGCAGTCTGTGGTGTGTACTTGTTTCACTTTTGTCGAGTTTCTGAACATATATAAGGAGCTGTGAGCTCTGAGTGCTAACAGCTAACGGCTGTGTTGTGTTTTCTGGAGTTCTCATTGAAGATGACGTCACGGCTCCGCCTACACTGCGTTACTATAGTAACTACCCCAGTTCCTAAACTGTAATGGAAGCGCAGCATGAAGTGAGTCGGCCCTGTTAAGGCCCAACGCGGCCAAGCCGTACCGAGCCGTACCGAGTGTGGCCGAGGCCGACCGTGTAGTGGAAATGCGCCAAAAGTGTCCAAGCACAGATAGCAGAGATGTTCACAATAAGAGGCGTCTGGTACAACCAAAAGCATTTCTTACAGCTTCAGTTTCAGGCAGAAGGGATATGTGATGTCAGGTTATAGTTTTTAGTGAATGAATCCATTTTGGGATCTGTTGGAGCGAAACCAGCTCATCTAATGAAGCAGATTGTGATGAAGGACTTGTGTGTTCCAGCTGTTATTCAGACCCTGAGCGCGGCCTTGCAGAACCTCCCAGAGGTGAGTCAACACCGTGTAACCTTCACTGACTCCGTTTATTACAGCGCTGTAAACTATGGGGCCGTCAGGAAAAACAGGAATAAGCTCCATCTAGCAGCAGGTAGTGGGTTCACGTTAGGGCTGTGCAATTATGGCAAAAATCATAATCACGATTATTTTGGTCAATCATTGATATCACGATTATTAAATACGATTATTCATTGACTTTGAAAACATCCATTTATTGAACTTTAAAACAAATACAAATAATAATTTGAACAGTATCTTATAACTGTTGATTTCCCTGAACGTATAATTCAACTGAAAAACTTTAAATAAATAATATAAAAATAATAAATACCAATAAACAAGATCAACAAATATTTTGGAGCGCACTTCCACAAATCATATATAAATACAAATAAATGAGACCAAAATAAATTAGATCAAATATTGCACAGTCACAACCTAGCAAAGCTAAATAATTGTTTTATTCGATTATGTTGTTTTCGTAATTGTGGCAGGCCAAAATCGTAATTGCGATTAAAATACGATTAATTGCACAGCCCTAGTTCACGTCTCCACATCATGGTCAGATAGAGAGTGTTTCGTACGATTTCAACAAACAATAGTATTTGTTCTGGTGTTTGTAAAGGATATTCTGCTCCCTGAATGTGAGGAATACGTCATTATGACTCGTAGAGAAAGGTATCTGAATTTAAATGAGCTGTAGTTACACTCATCAGGAGGCAGAAATATGACATGTTCGATCTAAAATGGAAGAAAAATGACTGTATTTGTAGAAAAGTGAAACTTATAAAATACATAAGGGACATATTGTTTTTGGCATTATCTAAATCCAGTTAAGTTAGTTGAGCGGTTTTGATGTTATTTTGTGAACAATTTGTACTTCTAGTTATACTCAACATGTTAATTAAAACTGCAATATCACATGCGTTATCTGAAATGGAAAAAATATGCTGTGTATTTGGAGACTTTAACACAAAATCTCAACCCACTATCTGACTTGTTGTCAAAGTAAATGAACTGGTAGTTAAAATAAATCCACTGGTTTAAATCACTGTGTGATTCCAGTGAGACAGAAACCATTTCCCTTTGTTAAACTAACATTTATTGCACTTTCTGTTGTCCTTGAACGCATCTTAAATGGCAGAAATAATGGTGTACTTTTCCTCCACTACATGTATTTAATACCTTTAGTTACTTCACAGATGTGGATGAATGATGTGAAATATAACCAAGTGTTAAATCAGACTTTAGTTCCACCTGGAGTAAATCCACAAGCTACCCTGCAGTATACAAAGTCATTCAAACTAGCTGCACCTTTACCAGCTTTGAGAACACTTTCATGATCAATCATTATAAAACATATCATATATATTATTCTGAAATGGACCAATCTGCACAATGACTACTTTTACTGTACTTTCACTATATTTTGATGAGAATACTTTTCTACTTTCACTTGAGGAACATTTTGAATGCAGTACTTTTACTGTAACAGAGTATTCCTACACTCTGGTACTTCTACTTTTACTCAAGTACAAGATCTGAGTACTTCTACTTTTACTCAAGTACAAGATCTGAGTACTTCGACTTTTACTCAAGAACAAGATCTGAGTACTTCTACTTTTACTCAAATACAATATCTGAGTACTTCTACTTTCACTCAAGTACAAGACCTGAGTACTTCTACTTTTACTCAAGTACAAGATCTGAGTACTTCTACTTTTACTCAAGTACAAGATCTGAGTACTTCTACTTTTACTCAAGTACAAGATCTGAGTACTTCTACTTTTACTCAAGTACAAGATCTGAGTACTTCTACTTTCACTCAAGTACAAGATCAGAGTACTTCTACTTTTACTCAAGTACAAGATCTGAGTACTTCTACTTTAACTCAAGTACAAGATCTGAGTACTTCTACTTTCACTCAAGTACAAGATCTGAGTACTTCTACTTTTACACAAGTACAAGACCTGAGTACTTCTACTTTTACTCAAGTACAAGACCTGAATACTTCTACTTTTACTCAAATACAATATCTGAGTACTTCTACTTTTACTCAAGTACAAGATCAGAGTACTTCTACTTTTACTCAAGTACAAGATCAGAGTACTACTACTTTTACTCAAGTACAAGATCTGAGTACTTCTACTTTTACTCAAGTACAAGATCTGAGTACTTCTACTTTTACTCATGTACAAGATCTGAGTACTTCTACTTTTACTCAAGTATAAGATCTGAGTACTTCTACTTTTACTCAAGTACAAGATCTGAGTACTTCTACTTTCACTCAAGTATAAGATCCGAGTACTTCTACTTTTACTTAAGTATAAGATCCGAGTACTTCTACTGTATACATGTGCTGTAGTTTCTCCCTGATACTGAACATGAGGAGCGGAAATATACAATATAAATGTGTATTTGTAAACGGCAGATATAAACTGGTAGAGTTGTTCTCTCTCTTTCTGCAAAGAGAACACAGAGAAGTTGAAGTAAATGGAGACAGAAGTGTCTCTGCTACATGTTGGACACTAGAGACAGGCTTTTCCACAGAAACTGAGATCCACAGGAACCCTGAACTCACCTGGTGTTCGGGTCGCAGATCAGGTAAATCCGGTCGTCGAGTTCAAACGCAGTCCCTGAACGCAGCGGGAGGTGGATTCAGTGAAACGGGGTTCTGGTTCTGGTCTCTTCTGTTTCTGGTTCTGGTTTTTAGTGTCGAGGCTCCATGACTCTTTCCTTTCTTTAATTCCGATACTCACAAAGCTTCACCTGCGCAGCGCGATCCGGCTCACCTGGCGGAGGGATCTGCAGTGAGGCGTTCAGGGCGCGGTGCGCTGCTGCACAAAGAGCTGCAGACGCACACACACACACGCACACACACACACGTACACGTACACACGCACACGCACGCACATACACACACGTACACGCACACACACACACACACATACGCAGGAGCAACAGCCAATCAGAGAGCAGCTGGGAGGAGCTTGAGGACGAGGGGCAGAGGCGCGGGAAGGTATTTTGCTGCGGTGCTGTCCGATGTGCTAATTACGCAAGGGGGGGGGGGGGGGGGGGGGTGACGTTGACATACACAAAACCACACACACACAGTGAATAACAATGGACTCCAGTGCACGCTATTACGGGCACTATAGAGCAGTGGTTATCAACTGGTCAGGCCTCGGGACCCGAAACTTTGAACCACTCAAATCTATTCAACAAAACATTGTGCTGTAATATACGCTTTTCAGCATACACTATTAATTAAAGTGAAGTACAGTGCATATATCCCTTATATCCCTTCACAGAACTAAAGAATGCTTTAAAGGTTTAATGAGATGATGGAATCAAAGCTGAACTGTATTTATAAAAAGGCCCACATGCTGAAAACCCAACCCCAGCAGGGGGTCTGGGGGGATTTTTAGAAATACTAACATATAAACTACGCATTCTGGTACACTCTGAGAATAAAATAAATACATCTATTACTACCCAACATATTAATAATATTTGATGCCATTGTTTGTTTGTCACTTTGTTCTGACAGCTTGCTGCTCCTCACAGAGAGAAGAGCAAAGAGGAGATAGTCTGTGTGAATTACTTTGTGGGTAAGGGTAGATAGCTCCCATTGTTCTGTGACCTGTCAGTCATCAAGCCGGGGGTCATATTTCATTATGTGTTCATTTCTATCTGAAGTTGTACCCATGGATGTATAAAGAATAGTTCTACCGCAAAGTTATTCTCCGTGGGGACTTCCGGCAACCATCTTGATTCTGATTGGCCAGAAGACTCGAAAAAACATCAGCAAAGATGTTTTATTGAGAAGATGAACACTTTTTTTTCTTCACTCACACATCTGCGACCCACTCGAAATGGGTGTCGCAACCCACCAGTTGAGAGCCACTGCTATAGAGCACGCACAAAAGCACGAGAACACACACACACTATTAAATAAATAGTAAAATATATTAAAATATTATTTTACCAACAATGTGTAATTTACATTCATTGAAGTAGGCTATCAAGGCATTGCTAATTCCACTGCAGTCAAGCCAGCCTCCACTTGGGAAAACGCAGTCAAGCCAGCCTGCACGTTATATTGCGGTGCGCGAATATCCTATGCATTACGGTAGAGGCCTGGAAAAACTGCCTTCAAAATAAAAGCGCTTACTCGGTCAATAACAAATATACCAAACATATTCATACTGGAGATTAAATTAAGAAATATGTACTATATAATGTGATCAATAATAATTTAAAACAAACTACGTATCACTACCACATTATAACTGAGTGAATGTAAAACTTAAGGAGTTTAAAAATAAAATACTTTTGAAATCTCATATGGGCCTTCTGTTTTTAGATAAGAATAAATACAATACTGTCAATCATCAAATACTTATTTCACTTCAGTGTGATAGCAGGACACCCCAACTAGTCACTCAGAAAACATCAGGACATTCTGATGTAGAGTTTCAAAATAAAAGACCTTTGAAATCTCTATATATATATTTATTCTTATCTAAAAACAGAGGGATGACAGGGGGGTGCTGCAGCGCCCTCAGCACCCCCCTTCCCGCGCGCCTGGACAGGGGGTGTGTCCCTCATTTTTAAATGTTACAATATATCACCTTATAAATTATTAATGAACACAGACACCTACAAATATGTATGGAGCAATATAACATACAAATAATAAAAATACAAATAAAGAAATGATATAAAATAAAACAAAAACAAAATAAAAATAAATGTATATCAAATCAAATAATATAAAATAAGCGTGTTTTGTTTTTACTTTAACTTTTTACAATTTAGCACAATTTTCATAATTAGCAGCACCTTTGCAGGACATAATGTTCAAACATATAGAAATGAGAGAGTACATGTGTGTGAGTGGGGGGGGGGGGGGGGGGGGGGGGCAGGAAGTGAGATTTACAAACAGGAAGTTAAGTGTCTTCAATGAACAGGAAGCGAAAACAGAGCCGAAACAAAAAAAATAGGTCATATGACCTTTAAAAATATCTGTTATATCACTATCAGCAGGAGAGGACTCTTTAAAGTAGAGACACTACATACTGATATACACCTGAACATCAGCAGGAGAGGACTCTTTAAAGTAGAGACACTACATACTGATATACACCTGAACATCAGCAGGAGAGGACTCTTTAAAGTAGAGACACTACATACTGATATACACCTGAAACATCAGCAGGAGAGGACTCTTTAAAGTAGAGACACTACATACTGATATACAGCTGAACATCAGCAGGGAGGACTCTTTAAAGTAGAGACACTACATACTGATATACACCTGAACATCAGCAGGAGAGGACCTCTTTAAAGTAGAGACACTACATACTGATATACACCTGAACATCAGCAGGAGAGGACTCTTTAAAGTAGAGACACTACATACTGATATACACTGAACATCAGCAGGAGAGGACTCTTTAAAGTAGAGACACTACATACTGATATACACCTGAACATCAGCAGGAGAGGACTCTTTAAAGTAGAGACACTACATACTGATATACACCTGAACATCACAGGAGAGGACTCTTTAAAGTAGAGACACTACATACTGATATACACCTGAACATCAGCAGGAGAGGACTCTTTAAAGTAGAGACACTACATACTGATATACACCTGAACATCAGCAGGAGAGGACTCTTTAAAAGTAGAGACAACTACATACTGATATACACCTGAACATCAGCAGGAGAGGACTCTTTAAAGTAGAGACACTACATACTGATATACCACCTGAACATCAGCAGGAGAGGCCTCTTTAAAGTAGAGACACTACATACTGATATACACCCTGAAACATCAGAAGAATAGGGAACTCTATTTAAAGTAAAGCGATGTTATTAAACGTCCTCTAAACATTACTACGTTTTTTAAAAATAAAAACAAGAAAAAAGCCGACATCCGGAAGTTAGATAACATCAAGATGACTCAGTGTATCTGAAGTTGTCAGCTTCACTTCCAGGAATGTCTTCTGTACAAATAGTATACATATTAACCTGCTATAATATTTATATAAAACTATTTACAAAACAATGAATAAGACATTTCATCTGAAAACCAGGGACACAGAAAACACGCCAGAGAATCCAAGAGTGTGTGAGTTTGCTGATTGTGTAAGTATTCCCGTTACTGGGTTTAATAGGGCGGTGTCGTGTGTGTGTGTGCGTGTGTGTATAAATGGATGCCAGATGACAGTAAACATCTCCATGTGTTATTTGTCCGAAAACATTTACAGTGACTTTATAAACCCTGAACACACACACACACACACACACACACACACACACACACACACACACACACACACACAACACACACACACACACACCACACACACACACACACACACACCACACACACACACACACACACAACAACCAACACACACACACACACACACACACACACACACACACACACACACAAAATAAATCACTTGTCTCAGGATCCTCACGACGTTTCCTTTTCCTACTTCCTGTTTGAAACCTCCTTCTGACTGTTTACACTTTTCTTGTAACAGAGTTGTTTCTCTGGAGTAACAAAGTCCTTTATTTTCATTTATTCTCTACTTTGTTCTCCTTGCTTTTCCCCAAACATAATCTACGCTGCTCTCGGATGTCGTTTTCCTTCTTTCATTCTGTACGTAGTTCATATGTAGAGAAAATTAGTCAATAATTAAGAAGTTAAAAGTGATTAATAAACCAATTAATAGATTATGAAAATGCTTCAAAAAGTCAACATTCTGGGGAAAAAGTGTGTGAGTTGCTGATTCCCCTTACTGGCTTTTACAGGGTGGTTGATTGATTGAAAAGTTTATTAACAGCTTGTATATTGGGTACAGTACAGTACAGCTCAAAACATACAATTGTTAAGGGGATGCAGACCAGAGAAAGACTTTCGTCTTGTTTACATCAGGGTCCCCCATTTCCAATTCATCATATGGTGGTGGTGTGTGTGTGTGTGTATGTGTGTGTGTGTGTGTGGCCCAATCCCAAACCATGCCCTACACCTACCCCTACACACTCCCCTCCGTGATGGAGTGAACTCCGTCTGTATTCTCACTCGCAGCTCAACGAGGCTCCCTCCTGTCAGATGGAGGGAGTAAACACAGCAGCAAGCTTTGGGACAAACTCCCCTCCCTCCGGCAGAAACAGGAAATGCCGTAACTGTATGTAACTGTTTCAAATCAGCATCTCTTAGACCAGGGGTGAGGAACCTCCGGTACGGCCCTCGAGGTCATTTATAAACACACGCAAAAAAAATTAAAGAAATCTAGACCGCAAAATAATTTAAAAAGCGAGTGCCTGTTTTTCCTGGCTAAAGTCAGGGTCCTTGAACACAACACGAGCCTAAAGTGTCATCACGTGGTATATGTCCTGTCTGATAGGGGTGCAGTTCTGACGGAGAGCTCCAGAACGCCGCTCCGGCACTTCAAACATTGCAGTACCCATAAGGAGCCGTACACATGCCGCAGTTTCTGCGTGGCTGTGTCTTTAGCTGAAAGCCCAGAGGAGATCTGCTCATCTGTCATACTGATCAGACAGTCAATCACTTTGCTGTTATTAGCATCTGGTTAGCTAGCTATGCTAACGGATATAAGAAGCTTCTACAACCAGTGAGGTAAAGGCACATCTGTATATGATCATTAGTTATAAAAGAACAAGAGAATAAAGTAAACAGGTATAAAATACTATATGACAGTAAAAAAAAGTTGTTATTAATAAACAAGAATACAGTTTGAAAGGAGAGTGATTTGTAAAACATCCATAAAGAAAAAGAAAATCTGCTTAGGGTTCAGTTTCATATGGATGTTGAGAG